TCAATATTAAAAGTAATGCTTTTTTGTCATTTCCTATATGTAGTAATATTACGATGAATTTACTTATTAAGTATATGTCATGTAATAAAAAATTAGTGGTGAGAAATAGGTGCCCGACCGAGAGAGAGAGAGAGAGAGACTAAACCAGTTTTCCTATGAGTTAAGTCATAAAATAATTTAAATGATCCGTAATTCTTACGATTAAACACAAGTCTTATATATAATACATATAATTCAATACAACATATCTAATGACGTAAAGCAATAACTGTATGCGAAATACAGTGGAAATTTGTATTCACGAAATATTGTATTTAACTTTCACTCACTTTTTTCTATGCCATTAGTTATTGAAAATGTATTCGTTAGTTATTATATAACTAACTGTTTAGGACTGGCAGTCAATTCATGTCAGCCCTCTCAACGACTGGCGCACTCAAAGACTTCAATACAAAAACTTTTACATTTATGTATTATATTATTATTATAACTATTATTATTAAACATAATTCATTTTAAAATACACATTATATCTCTCATTGTGTGTGTATTTTATGGCATATGATATATGAAAATGAAAAGCGAAAGTGAATTACTTTATTGTTTCATACATTCAAACGCCAGCTTTTAATCTACAAATCGTTAAAATGAAAATTGTTTTCAACATTTAAGACGATTATAATCATCATCTCCTCAATTGATGTGTTAGTTTGTGGTCTACTTTGCCATCAAATGAGAGAGACTTTTAAATCATGGTAACATTCACAGTGTGATTATACACTGGCATACAGTTTGGTGTATGAAATAAAAACACAAATGTCATTAAAATTCTGTTGCATTTGAATACAATTCCTGTATTGAAAACAATTACAACATATTTATAACTTTGTGAAAATCATCTGTTTTTACCCAGAGTTTTGTTTTTCATCGCAAACTCAAGCGTTTACTCTATCATTGAATGGATCCGTGTATTAAATATATCACGTTTTGTTTAAGTTTAATTTTATTTCTTTAATTGGATTACACATTATATGCAATACTATTGTCTTAATTAAAAACCAATTTCTCGACAAAAAACACATAATAATAACACAATTATTAATTTTGTCTTCAATTAAATCCATAGTCAAAGAATCGGTTCCGGGAACTCGTGGGGAAGATTATACCCCATAAACACACCATAAAAACCCTACGATTCCCAACAGTTATCCAACAGTTGCTGCAAAACATCCCATCCGTCAACACACCCAGAGATAAACAGACGACAAGACTTCAAGAATCCGTATAAGAAGTGGAAGAATAGGAAGAATAATAAGTGAATTCTTCGCCAAAACTTATTTATCATTAATTATTTCATGTGTTTTCAAAAGACAAGGAAGTATTGTATGAGAAATATCTATAATAAACAACACATTGTATGCAAGTTTTGTATGGGATTCACGGGATATAGCGATTGGATTGAAGCCAAAATCCGGATCAACAAAACATCTCAAGGATTGACAAAATAGTTTCTCTCATAATATGATGTTTATGTGATTTATATAACACATTGCTAAACAAGTCTATTGCAAGAGATTAGTTGTTGTAATAATATAATTATAACAATAATAATCATGTATTGTATAATAGTGTGTGACATAGATCGTTTGCCTAAAATTACCTCACGTGAATAATAATAACAATTATAACAATAATAATAATAATACATTATTTGGTGGATGTAAACGATAGTTTCGTTAAGCCTTTTTGAATACTCAGTTCACTTCACTATACGATTCACTGATTATTTCCACCAAAAAAATATTACAAACTATTTGTAACAATAGTTTTGTTTGACTTCACGTTAAAAAACATCTAATTTTGGGAATATTTTTCAAAAAACAACTAATAATACGTTTACAGCAAAAAACACAATCCCATTGTATTTATAAGTTTTTGTAGTTTTTGATGCCAACGATTGTCTCGACATCAAAGAGACAGACAACTCGTTTGGTCCGACAGTAAAACATAAAACTATTGTCAAAAATATATCATATATTTTGTGAACGAAACAGCATTTCCTCAATAGTCTTGTCATTTGTTGATATCAAACATACCATTGTGTTTGTGAAGTCATATCCATTGAGCACTTGGTAAACAATGCCCACACCGGAGCCGATTGACCACTATTTTGACGAGTCGTTCGTGCAGTCAGTTCGGGACCAGTTGTCGGAGAAGATTGAATGCAATGCCGATCTCTATGACAAACGCGATGTCCATAAGCTGTTGACATGCGATTGGTTTGTCCGCCGGTTCCTCGCCTGGAGGCCCACACAAGTCGACTGTGCCGTCAAATGCGTGGCCGAAGCCATGAAATGGAGGCACGCGTTGGGTATCAATGATTGGTATGTTATATATTATATGAAAATCAATTTATCATTTTATTATTGTTATGATTATAATAACATTACATAATGTTAGATAATATACGGTAAATGTGTTGAACGGGTGCCGAACTATTGACCCTTTGATTTATAAAAACCAATTATTTTCCTCATTTTTCAGGGAAAATATATCAATAATTGTTAATTAGTTTATGAATATTGTTATGATTTATAACATGTAATTAATCGCTAGAAATATTAATTTAGTTTTCTATCAATGAATAATGATTTTTGTTGTGTTCTCTCTCTCTCTCTCTCTCTCTCTCTCTCTCTCTCTCGAGATCCCATTTTCTCATTAGAAATAATAGTAATAATAAAATAAATTACATTTAATTTCTATCAAGAAATGAGAAATTCATTTTTAAAATCGTATTATTTAATCCAAAATTCATATTATATTTTCACAAAATTATTATTTTTCAAACGATACAAAACTTTTTTATCCATTAAATGTACTCTTAATGCGGAAACTCATATGAAATGTGTTTTATAAAATATTTTTACTTATTTTTTACAACAACAACAAAAAACAAAACTTAATTTCATATACGAAAGCATTACATGTTTTTTGATATTTTGCCCGAAAAACGGGTGAAAAATAATAAAACATATAAACATTTTCTCTGTTCCGCTGTTATATAAAAACCATAAAATACTTACAAAACAACACAAAAGACACAAAATTTTATTAATCACAGAAAAATATGCATAAAAACCATAGATTAGACACAAACTAAACCATAACCCTTAGCAGTCATAAACTCATCGACAAAATACACAAAAAAAAACTTAAACAAAACAAAAAATAACAAATTTTCACACCATATCTAATACCTGACCCTATGTTAACCCCCGGGCACAGGACGGACAGCTACTTTCCCATTGAGTTCTATCAATTGGCCGCGTGTTTCGCATACCTGCCGGACAGGGAGGACAACAATGTGCTGATCATTCGGCTAAAAAGCAATCGCAGGGATCCCATACTGAAGCCCCACTTCGACGACTTGGCCCGAAACTACTTCATCTATGTCTGCGAGAAGATTGTCAGCCAACACACGCACCGGGGCTTTTCCATCGTGTTTGACTGTCACGGGGCCTCCCTGTCCAACGTTGACCTGGACTTCGCGCGTTTTATCATATCAACCCTATCTAACTATTATTCCGGTAAATAATTACCATCATTATATAGATTCTAGTAAAACAGCCAATTAGTAACCATATACTTGTGTTTGTTACCCTGGTAGGTGCGCTGGTATACGTGTGCGTGTACGAGTTACCATGGATATTTAACCAGATCTGGAAACTGGTCCGCTCGTGGCTCGACTCCGAGGCCAAAAAGTTGGTCCGTTTTGCCACCAAAAAGGATGTCCAGCGACTCATAGCGGCCGACCATTTGCCCGAATACATGGGCGGCTCCGCCACCAAAGACTATCGACTCGTACCCAAAGGCGCCCTCCCTATCGAGGATATGGCCAAACAGTACGACAACCACTACTGCGAGAATGATATACACAAACTAATCACATATTTTCAGCGTATGATTGAAAATTCCTGAAACACAATACGTGTCTATTTTTTATGTATTGACATTTAATTGTGTAATTGTTGATCAATTCTTGTGTTTTGAATATTAAACATACATTTAGCTAAAAATACCCCAAAAATATGTTATTATGTTTTTTACAATTGAATTTATGTGTGTTTTTCACATTATTACTGATGGCATGGATTTACAAAATTGTCTAATTTTTACTGATTTGGTAATTGTTTTACTGATTTAATTTGAATATTGAAATGAATGTTATTTTTTATTATAATTAATGTCAAAATCAAAAGTTATTGATTTATAAATAATGTGTTATTTTTACTTAAGTCATGAAAACACTAGAAATTTCAGGAATTAATTTTATTTTATTTAAATTTATTATCAATTTACCATTTTATATGTAATTTAAGCAAAAAAGTAATTTATTTAAATAATTATTTTCTTTTTAAATTATCTTCATCATTTTTTAACTATTTATTTTATTTATTAATAGAAAATTAATACTTTTATTTATATTCAAGCACAATGTAACTGAAAATCTGGTTAAATATATTGTTTAAAAATTTAATTTATAATTACTATAATTAAATGGTATTAAACAAAGCATATCTGTCAATATTACTTAATTTTCAAATATTAATTTAATAAATTAAACATTTAAATTAATTGTGTTTAATCAGCAAAATATACATCATTGTCAACTAGTGTTTAATACCTTGGTATTAAAACCGTTCATAAATTATCTAAATAATTTATAAATTAACTTTTAAAACATTTTTATGTAATACCTAATTAAATATTATTATTATTTAACAGAAATAGTGAGTTCACCGCAAAGTTAACTATTTAATTATCTACTATTAGCTGACTTTATGGTTAATTTCATACAAGAGATCAAACTCCGGGGACTGACCAAGAGTTTCAGTTTATGGGCGCATACTTTGAGCGCCAGTTTTATAAACCCAACAATTGTGGCAAAACCGACCTTTTGTTAAACATCCGGGAAATGATCAAAATGTGTCCACGTTTTGCATTTTATGGTACATTTTGTATTGATTGCAAGGCAACTAACACCGCAATTAAATTTCAACAAAACTATCTGTTTGTTGTATAGACTATGGTGATATACTGTATGTTAATATATTTAGATAAAACCTTCTGAATTAATAACTAGTGTACGGATTTATTTGTTAAAACAAATTAAACCAAATAAAACACACTAAATGTTAAAATACTACAATTTGGTTTTATTAATAAACCCAAATAAAACCAAATTTTAGTCGTTCTTTAAGTGTAAAACGTGACCAAATATCAAACGTTTGTGAGTGTTTTTTAAATTGTTTTATAAATTTGTGTAATTTTATACATTTAATTGTTTTTCGTTAAATAAAATG